AGGTGGAGGGAGATCAGAAACATCATTTTCAAATACACAAGTTACAAAACATCTTTGTAACACAATACTCTTGCATACCCACAGCTCATGCATGTTTAATTACCATCAATCAATGATGTGATAGAATCAATAGCTCTGAACACAAAGGAAATAAACTTCATACTGCAAATACTTAAAAAATGTTCAGTATCACTATATCAATGTCAAAGCTATTTTATCAGCAGGGAGGACCTTACATGGCCACCACACATTCACAATACTTTTAATCTAATAATCAACTTCACTAATGCTATATATTGATTTCTTTTCTTATGTTTTATTTTCCAGCAAGTCACAGTGGAGTAATGTTCATGAACACAACCTAACTGTACTGATACTGATCAGCAATCTTGTAGGATAGCCAGGTCATCCATTCATTATTAATAACTTGAGGTAATGGGAATTAAGTCAAACTTTTTCCTTCTCCCAACTTTTAGATTCTGATTCTCTTATGATAACAAGCATGTCTGTAGAAAAAAAAAATGAACCATTAGAAAAAACAATTTTTGTAAAATAAAAATATCTCTATTATAATAAACTGTAAAGGCTGATAGTGGGTTCTTATTTCACACAATGTGTCATAAACAAATTGTATGTATAGCATCCATGCATTAAATTTTATATATTGTATTGAAACATAATACAGTGCAGTAGGTACATACATACTGTCACAGCCAATTACCCACCCGTAACTTGACATACAATTGCTATTGTAAACAGTAGGATGACACATTTTCTACAACAAAACAAGCTCGTTTTATGATTAAAAAGAATTTCAATTTTCTCTCAAGGCAAACCAGATGCTGTCAGGTCAGTGCATTCTTGAAGAAGAACCACTTTATAGCTCCGCATGGTTTGTGTGCTTTGAAAAGTCATGTGGCATTGTGTACTGTATGTTTTGATGAACCAGGTCTTTTAATTCAGGCTATGAACCCAGTTTTTGTTAACATTTACCTTTTTCTCTTCACTCTTCATATGATCTGTTTTTCATATATTGAAAATATTTAAAAAAATTCAGGTCACCATTAGAGTCTTATATCCCAATTTAAATTAAATTACTATAGACTTTTGCTGCAATAAGATTCAATGTGAGCCAAATTAACTTCACATAGAAAGAACTCGTACACATGAGACCATACTTCATAATAAATGAAAAACAAATAAATAAATCAAGAGGAAATTTCCTGGGAGATAGGATAATAGGAAATGTGTGTTTAATATCTGCATGGTGCTTGCTGACCTGATGGTACATTTACGCCTTTTGTGCATGGCAGAAAAAGTACTTTTGTATAGTTAAAAATCAAATGATGAAATATGGAATGACATCCTATTCAATGGGTAGGTATTATCTTACCCATTATCTCCATCAAGGAGACATTTTTAACGATCCTATGTCCTCACCCACATCATACTTGTCAAAAGCTTGCCAGTCCATGACAAAACAAGTGTAGCCACTTCTTTAACTAGCTTACATGTATCTCTGGTAGATCTGCTAGATCTGGTATGGTATTATCTATTATTGCATAGTGTTGATGGCCTTGATCAACCTCAACGTGTCAGCAAATTAAAGGTGTGTCATAGTATTGCACTGCTTCTAAATGCATTCCAGTAACTTTCAAACTGGAGGATTATTGAATATCATATCTGACAATATCAGCGTTTAATCCATAAACTTACCAAATCCAAGAGTGCCTCCTCTTTGGAAGAAAATGGTGAATTTCTGGCACCTGTAGCATTTTCTACTGCCACTGCTGATGTTGGTTGTAACAATCTGCTGTTACTGTCTCTTGCAAAAAAAAAAATTATCTCGCTACGTCAGCCGGCACCAGCATTTGCCCATGGAATCTCCCTCTCTATGGTATTATTATGTATGTTAATGTGCAGTCACAGTGAGTGTGTACACTTATCCCTCATCACTGTAATAACTAAGGGTCTACGTACGTGGGACACACCGAGAGATGAACTCGGCCAGGTATACCAAGCTGAAGGTTGGATTTCATTGGTCCACATTTGATATGATTTTCTGCTCAGTCAAGCTGTGGCTGGGCCCACAAACTAACTTTAACAGATGATGTCTACGAGTTCTGTATTTAGTTGTCACTGACTGGTCTNCCAAGGAAAAAATGCAAACAAGACTTGAACATAGCTATTTTAGAATGGAGGAATACACCAGATAAGTTTGGAAGCAGCCCAGTGCAAAAACTAATGTCAAGGAGAACAAGAACAAAGATGCCAACAAGCGAAGAATTGTTAAAACCAAGATTGATTGATGGAGTATATGATAACCTCACAATCAAACGTAAAAGAGCCAAACAAAGTTATGACAAAAATGCAAGGAAACTACCTGAATTGGACATTGGAGAAGCTGTTCGATTGCAGCCACTAGGAACCAAAGAAAAACAAGCCTGGAAAAAAGGTGAATGTCTTAGTAAAGTAGGACCAAGATCATATTTTATAGAAACTGAGGAAGGAATGTACAGGAGAAATCGGAAACACATAAGGAAAACAAAAGAAACTGAGAACACTGATGCTCAATGTATACCTTCGAAGCCAGAAGAATTGAATTCTGATCTTAAACCAGAGATTGTGACTGAAATTCAGTTAGAGACTGTTACAACTGTTACAAAGGATCAAAGTGCCAATGAGAAAAGTAATTCAATTGATTCACCAATAAAAACAAGATCTGGCAGGATTGTTAAAAGGCCAGATAGATACTTGACTTAATTTTTTTTCTCAAAAGACAGACTAGTATTAATTATAGTGCATAGACTGAAATTGCTAGTTTAATTTTTTTTTCTTTTACATTTGACTTGCATGTTGATAGAATCAGTTCAAGATAGAATCAGAACAAGGATTCAAGAAAAGAGACGCTGGATATAGGGCAGAATAATCCCTAATGTCTCGCTTTTGTCTGGAAAAGGGATAGTCCACCCCTTTTTCCATTTTTGTGTTGATATGTTAAAAGTTTTAAGTTGCAAAAACTGTTTAAAGTAGTATGTTTAAAGTTAAAATTGTTATATATGATATAGAGATATAGATAGATATAGTATGTTTCAAAAAGAAAGAAAGAAAGAAAGAAAAAAGAAAGGAATTTTAAAGGAAAGGAGATGAAAGCAGATTTAATTTTTTAAAGGAATGGAGATGTTGTGCAGTTGATTGTCTTGATTAGAGTTATATGCGTATTCTCTAGTAGAAGGAGATTGAATAAAGGGTTGAACGTGAAACATGCGTTTTCTGGATTCATGTGTGAGACCGCGTGTCTTTGGATAGTCGAGCTAAAGAAGCAACGACGAACACAAGCGTCCTCCCATATGAAATAGTTGTAAAAGCAACTAATAGTAAGAAATTTAACACAAGATGGTGCTTTATTGAAAAAAAAAACGTCATGTACGCGGTCATGGACGCGGGTCTGCAGACGTTTTCAAACGGAGAACCACACTCAATTGTCACATTTGTTGCATTGACAACTACGTTAAACGATGTTAACTGTTGTATTCTAGGCTTCCAAAATGCAAAAAGGGGAAAAACGTTCATAAGTAGGCCCTATACAGTTATACATATCGTTATGGCTAGGTTGCCTTTAGATTCAACAAGCGTTCAAGGTGACAGCCGAGCGTGCAGTGAACGGGCTCTGTACGCGTAAAAGCTACATTAGTGCACTGAATGCGGTTATTTCAAGCAATATCAGATGAGAAATAAAACAAATGTTTATTGACAATTCAGGTCCGACAAATGTGCATAGCAATAGCATTAGTCGGTGTTACTTTTCTGTCAAAACCGCGATCATTTTCTAACATGTGAAAACTTTGGGACGGGACTAAAGATCTTGTTGTTTATTAGCCAAAATATAACCTGAAATTTTGTAAGATGTTCATAAAAGTAAGTGTCTTGCCCTGACGAAGGATTTAAAGCCTAATTACTTTTGATCATCCCAGGTCCGGTAAGTTGTTGACAATCAGGGGCCGTCCAGTTGCATTCCCCCGATAAACTTTTTGTAAGTGCAATTAGAATTATGATTACCTTTGAGGTAGGCTCGTCGCATGCCTCGCGTAAACTTATTTCTAGTCGCATTTGATCATCTACGGACAGTTAAAGTCAATCAGGGATACGCCGGTTATAATGTTTGCAACCTAAGTGTGCAGAATATTAAAAGCAAGTGCAAGTGTATCCATCACCCCGTACCTAATTACCGTCGACAACCGAGGAAAACAGAGAACAACCGAACACTACCGAACACAAGCACTAATTACCGTCCACACAACAGTCTACAAGCAATAAATACCGCCCACAAGCGTCCTCCCATAGGAAATAGTTGTAAAATCAACTAATAGTTAGAAATTTAACATAAGATGGTGCTTAAACGTATACGGCCCTGAAAGAGGTCACGGGCGCGGGGCTGTGGACGTTTTGAAAACAACGTAAAACGATTTTCACTTTCAACTAATAGTTAGAAATTAAACATTAGATGGTGCTTAAACGTATACGGCCCTGAAAGAGGTCACGGGCGCGGGGCTGTGGACATTCTGAAAACAACGTAAAACGATTTTCACTTTTGTATAGGCCCTACTGGCCTTTCAAAATGGAAAAAAAAGGGAAAAACGCTCATCAGTTTACTAAATATAATAATAATTGTTATAGCTAGGTTGCCTTTAGATTAAATAAACGTTAAACGTGACAGCCGAGCGTGCCGAAAACAGTCTCTGTGTACGTGTATAAGTTACATTAGTGCACGTTTAAAGGCAGTAACGCTTTTTAAACAGCTTTTATCCAAGTGCAGTGACGCATTTTAATTTGATCTCAAAACCAAATTCTAAGTTTATTTATTTATTGTATTATTCTATTATTTTACTCTGTATATTGCTCCGAAAGAAAGGAAAATGATTTCCGATTTTTATAATTGGCTAAATAAACTCTTATCTTATCTAAATGTGGTTATTTCAATAAATAAAGTACAGTCATAAGATTATGTATGTGTGCATTTATTCCATCTAACGTAAGAAGATTAGATACAATTATAAAGTCAGAAAATACAATAGAGGGAGTGTGATAATGATAGGGTCGCTAAACGAATTTGACGGAATATAGTCACTAGCCTAATCCTCTTGTCGCCTGGAAATGTTTCTAGGGTAAACAATATCCAAGACTCTACAAAACACCATCTCTTGTTCAGTCACACCTGCATCAACAGCACAGCACCATCACACAAAATCGTATGGAACTACATTTTCCCATGTCTTGACTAGAACACCTCTTCTCTTATTGTCAGCTGATATGAAATTTGGGAATCTGTTAAAAATAAATATAATATAATATAATGATAAAATCATACATGTATGTATAAACAAGAAATTTATACAAAGCAGATAAAAACTGAAATTTAATGAAAAATCCATAGATTAAAAAAAACTCACCTCATTGTCAGTCTCACACCAGTTGTTTATCAAAGTAATTTCTTACTATACTATATAGTATTAATAATTCCTTGGTCCTACTAGCAATAGGCTAGTTAAAAAATAATGAAGTATTTGCTTTTTTATATATAAACACTTAATTACTTTCTGCTTTGTCTAACTGGTATCTTTTCATCATTCCATGCCATCAAGTCCATTCTCATGCGATAGCTAAGGCAGGGGTAGGTATGCTGTCAACCTTCACTAAAACTGAAAAAGCACAATGCATAGGTCATAAATGTGTGTCTCTGCCTTGACAAACGATTTTTTTAACTTGTTAAATTTGAAGACTCTTTTTACTACCAACAATTTCAGATAAATTGAGAAAATTTGTTTAAAAAATCACTATATTAAAACTTATAATGTAAAACAACTTTGAAACCTGCCCAGGAAAGACCTTTAAATTAGTACACCTGTAATGCTGATTGCGCAATGTGCTAGTTAACAGGTGTGTATAGACACACACACCCTATTTCGTAATTAGGTCTAGATTCCAACTCCATAAAGGAAATAGAACGGATAAAGGTATACTAGTAGGCCTACACATTGTATGTAAACAAAGTACAACTATAACTTTGCAACAAAATATAACATTTCACTGGTACTGAACGTCAACAAGTGCATCTGAACTATGCGAAGGGAGGTTACTCCAAAATCATTTCTATACATTTCGGCGCTTATTTGAAACTTAGTGAATGCAAAAAAAGACTCACCTTTTAGTCTGCAAACCCAAAACTATGTAACTTGAAAGGCAAACGGCAGATTTTTTCCATTCTAAAACCATGTTATGGCAGCGATATGGTCGATCTGCAGCACCGATGGCGTTTTTTCACGTATTATTTTCCATAACAACTCTCACTATGACAGTGACACACTGTATACTATAAATATACACTTGAAAAGCTGAACATTCAATTTTTTTCAACTGAAATGCAAGATTTGCCGAGAAAATCGCTTTCGAGTCACTTGCTCAGTGCAACGTGACAGTCCCAGTTTCGACTGACCTNTTGATGTCAGTAAAATAAAGGAAATATTTAAGTAAAATATTTTTTGTCCTTCATATTATACATCAGTAAAACATTTTCTGGTCTACGAAAGTTCATCAAACTGTGTCAGTGGGCAAGGCTACATGTACCAATGGAAGTGAATTGTTTGAGATGCCATGCTAGAAAAAAAAGCCTATGAAACCCTAATATCATCTGCCCCTGCCCCTATTTTATGATGTAAGTCATATACTTCCAAAACATACGCGTGTTGGAAAGAACAATTTCCAATTTAAAAAATTCAAAATTCCTCGAAATTAGGGCAAGTCGCGCTAGTTAGTAAACATCGATTTTGTCTGGTCTTAAATCAATTTTTACTACACCGGTGCAAAAGCAAATCGTGTTATTATTCTGATTACGTATAATTAGCATAGATTGTAATGTTACAGTATATCCAGGAAAGGAAGGCTTGATAATACGGACTGTTCTCCAATGCAAACAACTTAGACTTGCCCTTCAAGAAATCGACGTGAAATAGCTCATTTTCAAATTTGAATGAACACTGTAGCTAAAGTATATAAGCTCAAGCTCTCAGATTTCGCACATAGGTGCGATATTATGTAAAGAATAAATGTTGTAAATTTCAATAAAATTGGTTGTGTAGATTTTGAGATAGAACGCTCTGAATGTACTGCAAACCATAACACTTACGCCTTCAAGATCTCGACGGAAACCGGAAGTGCGTCGTGACGTCATTCCATTGTGCTTGGGAAGATGCTGGATGATTTTCTGTTGAGAAGGACTTCGTTTTTTATCAAACTATTAAGTAAATGACTTTGCAAACCACGCATAGACTCGCCCTTCAAGAAATCGACGCCTTCAAGAAATCGACGAAAACCGGAAGTGCGTGTTTTTTGCACTGTTTTTCCTGTCATGCCCATCGTAAACACTGTGTTGTCAAGTAAAACGAAGCGTCTGATACAAAGTATTGCGATGCGTTCAGTACACTTTGTTTACACTGACAAGTCGAGGTCAGGAATGCACAATGTTTTCCTATGTAATTACGCAGTTTCAATTTTGATTAGTGAATTTTCTTTTATCTGCATGGTCATTTTCCGAACATTTGTATGAGCCACGAAATATTTCTCATCGGAAAATCACCAAGCAGCTTTCCAAGTAGAAGCGAGTGACGTCATGACGCACTTCCGGTTTTCGTCGAGATCTTGAAGGGATTAGCGTTACGGTTTGCTGCACATTTAAAGCGTTCTGTCTCAAAATGTACTCAACTGCTTGGATTGAAATTTACAGAACTTATTCTTCACATGATATCACACATATGTGCTTAATTTGAGAGCTTTAGCTGTTATATGTTTTCTACAGTGCCCATTCAAAATTGAAAAAGAGCTATTTTCCGTCGATTTCTTGAAGGGCAAGTCTATAGTTTTTTTTTAAGTAAAAAAAACTATTTAAGACTAAGTTGTGTTTTTTTTTATTTCGATTTATATTTCAATGTTGTCTCATGTTTTCATAGCATTTCAAGAAAGTTCAAACGATTCACGAATTCGGCTTTTAATGATGTTTGAAGCGTGTAAGGCGTCATATATGTTTATAGAAAGTGTATTAGAAATTGAACTTAAGTAAACGTACTGAGAACGAACTCAAGACTCACAAATAGTGTTTGGTCATAAAAGATTTTACTTTTCTCAAAGACCACTTATATTTGCACTACAATCTTATAATATACAGAGGTAGTCCTAATTACGTATACCGCCCCATTTTAATCAAAACGGAAAAAAGAATACACACACATTTTATCATTTCAAGATGAACAATGTGACAGAAAACAAACAATCACAGACGACAGAATTTACAACAGACATGAAGGGGCAAATGAAGGGCCACAAATTTATGTACATTACTTTATCTGTAATATTAATACGTTGAAAAAACTGTAATTATGATAATAAACAATATACATGTTGAAAAGAACTAAACCAATACTCTTTTATTCTGATGCCTGCCAGCAGTTATGGCATAAAAAAACGTCCAAAAATGTGGGTGTTTTCGCGCAAGTAAGATGTTCTTGCGCATTGCAAACGACACACCGAATAAACTCGTACACTTCTTCCACCAACTCAGTTGTGCTAGTACTTGGTGGCTCCATTCCATTGCAAACACTACAGATCGGTGCCGGCCGACGGGGTGTAGGTCTACTTGGTGCCTCCGTCCCTTCCCTCGGTTCTACAAGGAAGAAATTTCCTGCCACGATGCCCATTCTTTTTACCCTCTTTTCATATGCTCTTTTCCTTTTCTCTTCTTCCTTTTTCTCTTTCTCCTGTCTTCTTAATTCTTTTCTTCGTTCCACTTCCAAGGCCTTCTTTGCCTTTCGATCGTGTGCCTCAGCCCTCTTTCTGTCCCTCTCCTCGCCCGCTCTTTTCTTCTCCTCCTCCTTCTCTATCCTTCGCTTAGCGGCATCTTCCCTTTTCTTCTGTTTTTCTTGAACAATCCTTTGGCTTTCTTCCTCTTTTCTTCTTTTTTCTGCCATCACTTCGTCCGACGTCAGTACTTGCGATCTACTATAATCTGTTGCAAATCTTCTTTTTCTCATGGGCGCCCCTTCTGCTGGTACAATTAGCACTTTCGCGATGGTTGGAGACACTATGCCCATCTTCACCATTGGGTGTTGCTCAATCTTGCATATGTGACCACAGTAACAGACAGGTGTCGCGTCAGTAGAGTCTGTTTGCGTCATCGAGTCCGTCTTGTCTGTCGGCTGTCCATTGTCATCGTAATATGTCTGAGTGGTTTGGTCTTTTCTCTCTTCGTCGTCACCGCTGCACTCCAATATGAGGCTGCACACGTCTAAACTTGTCTTTGTCTTCTTATGTGCTCTGTCGTTTTCTATGTATTTATCTGCCTTTATAGCCTTTGGGTTGAGTGGCCATATTCCTGTAGTTTTGAAAGACGCTGATAGTTTTTCTGTTGTTAGTGCTTTCCTTCGAGCAGATTTAAAAATTGCTGGAAAAGTTGCTTTAGTGATAAGAAGGTTTTTCCGTAAAAGACTGGCGGATTTTGCAATTTTTCTATACTCCAATTTTAGATCTTTAAAAATTTGATCCAGGGGTTGTAAAAAATGAGAAGTGTGTGCTGGGATATTAAACAAAATGATGTTGTTTTCCTTAGCACTGTCAATAAGACCTTTGGAAGCATGGGCTGCTTAGTTGTCTTGCAACAATATCAGGGGCCTGGCAGAGGGGGCGTGTTTCAAAAAAAATTTTGACAAACCATTGCAAATACATGTCAGAGTCTATGTACCCCGACTCAGAGGAGCCATAAAGGGCGTCCTCCGGCCCTTGCTGTATGGCTTCAGGTGCTGGGGGACAGCCTTCGAATATAATCATCGGTGGCAGCAGCTGGCCAACAGCACTGCCACACTCCACGACAGTAACATGGTTGGCATTGGTTACCTCTCTTTCATATGGGAACTGTTTTCCCTTCTTGGTGACAACTTTCGAGCTTGCTTTAGATTGAAAGTAAGTCTCATCTACATTGTAGATTTTACTTGGACAGGTAATGTTGTGCAGTGCGAGAGTTTCTTTTAGTAAATCAAAATGCGATTCTGCAACGGATTGCTGCGACATGACGGCTCTGCCTCTGAAAAATAATTTTCTAGAACGGTTACAGCACAGCGATTTTGCCTTTAAGTACCTTTAACACAATGCCTTTGTTAAATGGAGGAAAAAAGCCCACACTCATATGTGAACATTTTAGGTTGTAAAAAAATTGAATTCGCAATGACCATCATTATTATTACCACAATCATTATTATTTTCAGTCACAGGCACACCTATTGATTAATCCCGGCTTTCTTAGGGAGAGCTCGGGGTGCCTTTGCCTAAGGCGCCACCACCAACCATCCGATGCAAGAAACTCCACATTTGGGTCCCTTTCTTTCATAATCCCTTTTGCAAAGTGCCCCATCAGGTCTCTTGTCAGAGGAAACCCCCAGTCAGCCATAAGCATAGCATAGGCTATTAGGGCTTCCTCGTCGTCTGGGTTCATTAAAGTTTTTTTCTTAGGTGTAAACTTCAGTCTTCCTTTTGTGATAGACGCATATAAGAGAGACAGAGAAATGAAGTGAAACAGGATATACCTTAAGAGCAGGACAGGAAAGAGAATTTGCCCAAGGCAAGAATTAAAGAACAAATACTCATAAAATTAAAATAAAAACGTTTTTATTTACAAACCAATTTACGTTTTAGTTTTTCTTTGTTTTTATTGTTATTAATACGAACATAAAATGCAACTCATACCGTCATTACCAGCGTATATGCTCACGTATATTGTTCACAGGTTCATTACTTTTATAGTCACTACTTGTATATTCTAAGATTCGGTACCTGACACATGGTCACCAATCGTTGTTACTGGGACACCAAAAGCGCGTGACGCTTCAGTCAACGTGTACGTGCCTGCTTGCACAGACAAAACAGCTGCATCTAATTGTTCTAAGTTATATTTCCGTGGCATTCTGAAAACTGATTTGACATTTTTGGTTTAATTAATGTTGTTTTAAAATGTAAACACACATACAGTAATTTGGGCTTTTATTTTAGATAAACAAACAGAACTAGGCCATCCTTTGCTGAAGTTGGATATTCTAAAGGATTTCTTTTTTAAATTAAACCTCAAGATCAGTTACTTACGTAACCCGTCTTGTAACATTACTATTGTAAGGGTCTCTAGCGATTCACCAAACTACTACATGTGTAGGCCTATGTGTGTTGTGACACATATTATTGACTCAAACAAGAAAACAATCCTAACTACAATTGATCGGGACGATTTTATTTACACTCACAAGAGAGATGAATTGGAGACAAAAACAAAGGACATCATTTGGATACTTAAGATGCCTTTTTTCAAGGTTTGTGTTTATCACTAAGTTTGAAGCAATGTGTTTACAAGCCGTGTACATTGTACCTGTAATAGGCCTACTACGTCGGGTACT